TTCTGTTTGCACTATGTTAATGTTATGTCTTCTGTCATAACGATATACTATTTTACTATACAGTTCTACTTCAAACGGTGTTACAAGTACTTAAATATAAAAATTGAACGTGAAAAATTCTATTTATAAACAAACGGTAAACATCTATTTAAGTAGTTTATTAGAGTTACTTTAGAGTATTACTAAATAGGATTTTGAAGTATTCGCTTATTTTGAAGTAAAGAAACGAATACAAAACTTTTTCCTCTTTTCGTGAATCATTGACCTACGCTGAATTTTTTATTATTTTAAACAACGGATAGTTTACTATTCAATCAACAGGGCAAAATACGAACGAAACTGTGTTCGACGCTCTGATTGGCCGGCTCCAATGAACTAGCCAATCAGAGGGCCGAACGCGGTTTCGTGTCGGTTACTTTAAACGTAAAATAAACTCGTATTAAGGCACTACAACAATACTTCGAATACTCGTGCAACATGATTAAGATTATTACATTGAAAGTTTACAACTTCTAACTGTTTACAGTTACGATAAAGTAAATGTTTACATTCAATATCCAGGTGTTAGCATCGAGAAATTAAAAACAACACTCATTTGTGATTTTATAGCGAATACAAGTAGTAATATTTTGAAACATGTTATTTATTGTGTGGTTTTATTAATTAGGCTTTGTGTAACCAATCCATATCATGATAATTTACCAATATTGTTTATTGCATACTACATAATCGCCGGTGCTTGCCTCGTTGGCCGAGTGGTCGCAAGTGCGACTGCCGGGCAAGGGGTCTCGGGTTCGATTCCCGGGTCGGGCAAAGTATTACTGGGTTTTTAAAAAAAATCTCAGTAGTAGCACGGAGTTTGGAATTGTGCCCGGTATATGGCAATAGGCTCACCCCCTATTACATGGGACTCATAACATAAATAGTGAAAAGTGGGTCTTACATTGTACAGTGGTATAATGTGCACCTCTGCCTACCCCTTCGGGGATAAAAGGCGTGACGTTATGTTATGTTATGTTATTTATTCGCCGAAGGCGTAGACAGAAGTCTCCTTTTAAAAGTGACATCGACCGTTCATCGAATATGGGAAAAAACAAAACAAGTAGTGAGAAAATTATTTTTAAAATAATTCGGTATATCTGTAAATGTACTCGATGTTGACTTATCTTATTTGATGATGAGGGAGATGAAACCTTTAAAATGTAAATTAGGTGAGTGATTTTTACTGCACTAAAACCACGTTTAGCACCTATAAAGTGCATCAACTCCTCTAAATTGACCAGTCTCGGATGCATTACTATACTGCACTATCGCAAAAATGGCTAAAAATTTTCTTTACAAAACAGGCATTAAGTACGTTATTGTAAAACTTTAACCAATTTGTTTATTTATGCGTAAAACATGGGTAGGCAAGTATTGCCTTTCGCTAGCATTGAAGCGTCATAAAAAGTGTAAGAAAACATTAGTTTGGAAAGCCGGTGCGCCCGCGCAGACCTACACTTAGTTGTTGTTGTTATTGTCGAAGGTCACAAGTTAAAAACAGTCAGCGAACAAATAAAATACAGAGACAAAGGCGTATTTATTTAACTTGGGAGATGAGGTAGATATTTATTCGTCAGACGTTGTTGATGACGATGTTGATCTCGTAATAACATCCCACGGTCAAGTGACCTAAGAGGGTATATAGATTAGACATAAGTAGTTAACTTGGACACAAGCCTACTGCACCTAACCAACTACTACAACTGCTATAAGCCAGGATTTACAGTAGAGGTTAACCAAATTCAAAACTATAACTTGGTATAGATGAAATGATGTCCGGTAATAGTTTTTGGAAATTATTATGAAAACATTTACTATCGTGTAGAAAAATAATTATTTTAATTAACGAAACAAACCTGTTCAAAACCTTCTATTGTACTATCGTGTTTTGAAAATATAAAGTTACTGAGGGCGCACTATTTAACTTTAAACAATATGTGATTAAAATTGGAATGACAGATCAAATAAATGAGAACCATCCATAACTTCATATACTTTTCAGAAAATGCGGGTTGGCTGCGCAACGTTCACCGTTGTATTGTAGGTCGCGCTGTGCATGAATACGAGCCCCGTACATATGTTGAAACTATTCGAAACAATGACATTTGTCCTGGCCTGGAAATTTACCATTATTTGATCCGTGCGTTCATATTTCCCCTAATCCCCAAAAAAAAAAGAAAAAATAATATTTAAACTATATTTAAAAATATTCGACCCCAATCGCTCCTCTCCCCTAACTCGTCCCACACAATGTGATTCACGCTTCATTGGGTACATTATCGTTGGCCAATTTGCATGCTCGCCCCAGCCGCGTAACGGTAGCCACATTGGAATATTGCACGTCATATTTCATATATCATTCACTGGATCAACTAATCTTCTTTATCGTACACCTATTTGAATTGCGATTGTGATTCATCGCATTTTTTTCTGTATCGGATACAAAAATCGGTAAATTGAGTGTAATGTTTTTTTACATCGATTTGGTTCGCAATATCGATTTGATGTTTTAGTTGTATATTTATTGCGTGCAATGTTACTGTATATTCTACTGTATATTCGAAACCATTTTTTTGGTTTTGTGGAAATCGATTAAAGGTTAGTTAAACTTAAATTGAGAATAAATTTTCTGTAACTACACAACAAATGAACCAGTGACAACTAATCTAAGCTAAGTAACTAACTAAAATCACACATAGTACGTTCGTCATTCGTGCCATCACAAAGCTACAATATTGTCACCAGTTTTAGGTTAAGTACTTATCCATGCTTCGCCCCAATTTCCGAGTCATAAATGCGATTACAAAATCAGGCTAATCGGTTGACATATTAACGATAGCCGACTAATACGATTCATGACGTCATCGCTACCAAAAATATCGGGATTCTTTTTTGAAAACAGAATTTAATGCGAAGAGTTTTTATGCGTTGAGTTTTTATAGCAAGTTGCTGTCATGCATGAGGTTCATACGGGATACGGGTCATGTCGATGCTATAAATAAAAAATGCCTTAGTTTATTATTGTAAAGAGTAACGAATGTGTAGGATTTTTTTTTGCTGCAAAAACATGTGTCTGTTTCATTGCTTGAAGTATTTTGCATTAAAAATAATATTAGCTCATAAACAACTTAGTTATTTAGAACCATTATGTGATTAAAAAACTTCTATACGAAACCTTATGTGAATAGAATCTAAACAAACTTAATTACTTACATAATTTTCTAGGAACAAATGCGTAGATATAAATCGTAAGTGACATAAACATGCCAACTTCAAAACATGTAATAAACATCATCATCATAATATCACGCCTTTTTCCCTGATGGGGTAGGCAGAGGTGCACATTATGCCACTGTACAATGTAACACCCACTTTTCACTATTTATGTTAGGAGTCCCATGTAATAGGGGATGAGCCTATTGCCATATACCGGACACAATTCCAGACTCCGTGCTACTACTGAGAATTTTTTAAAAACACTGTAGTACTTTGCCCGACCCGGGAATCGAACCCGAGACCCTTTGCCCGGCAGTCGCACTTGCGTCCACTCGGCCAACGAGGCAAGCACCGGCGATTATGTAGTATGCAATAAACAATATTGGTAAATTATCATGATATGGATTGGTTACACAAAGCCTAATTAATAAAACCACACAATGTCCAGATAATAAATTATTCATTACCATTTACTTCTAACATGCATTATGTAATGTAACTCATTTTCATTCCTAAACTATTGAACCAATTTTGATGAGTTCATGTATAAAGATGAATAATAATATTATACCTGGAAGTAACTATCTTCAGAAATGCTGCTAAGTCTAAACTCATTGCCTCTGGCAGCGGCGAATATGTAAGAACCTTTAAATAATCAACTTAAACCTTTGCCATCACGACATTCTAACCTTGATTCACCTTTTTCAATAAACAATTGCTCCACACTTTATTAAAAATGCAAGCAAAACCAGCTAAGATGGAAAACGATAAAGGCTGAACTTGTATATCATAATTATGTATTGAGAAACAAGTGCCCAAATTATAACTGAACTGCTGTACCATATAGAAAAATGGGCAGTAGTGCCAAGAGTGTATTTAAGAGACGTGGTTAAAAGTGGTTATAAATGTTATGTTTGTTATCTATTAAAGCTATCTTAGGTTTCAGTAGTTAGAAAATATCATCATCATCATCATCATCAACAGCCTATAATCGTGCCCACTGCTGAGCAAAGCCTCTTCTCACACGGAGAAGGTGTGAGCATCACTGCGCTTGCTCAATGCGGATTGGCGATTACAAACTTATAATTAGAAATTTTAAGCCCAGGTTTCCTCACGATGTTTTCCTTCACCGTTTGTCAGTGGTGTCTAGTTAATCTTAGAAAGTAGGTACGTATAACTCGGAAAAAGTTACATTGGTACTTGCCGTTGCTAAGTTTCGAACCCGTGCTTCATGCGTGAGAAGCGCTGTCTTATAATCCTCCGAGCCACCACGACATTTTACCATAGGGCTACCACTGCGTTAGAAAACATAATATGATTTTAATACAACAAATGCAAATAAAAAAAATTTGTGTTACATGTTCTTGCAAATTTATTTTATGCTTTATTCATTCCAGTATTACGTATAACTTTCGTGAAACATATATTGGTTTGGTTCCCGCAACGAAGTGAATCAGAAGACATTATAAGAGGAGAAGAAAAAACTATAGTTTCCACTTCCCTCGGTGAATTACTGCAGGAGACAGAATGAATTAAGCCTAAAGGCACAAAAGTCGTGAAACATATATGGAATTAATTATTCGATTAACGGTTTACTCATGTAGACTATTTCTCTTATCCCGATATTTCCCTTTCTTAAGGCGGGAGAAATCCCGCCTTGTCGAAACCTCGAGTTACCTCGACAAATAGGTACACGAGTAAGCCGTTACACGTAATAATTATTAATTTATCAAGTCGGTTGACTAGTACAAATGTTGTTTGATGAAATTCACGAAACTGGTGACTCGAGTATATCCTGCAGGTATGCCTGCTTCACAACCAAAATGTTTAGAACCGAAGGAGGTGATACCAATCTGAAACAATTGTTTTAAAAATAAATAAACTGTTGCTGATTTTTATTTCATTCAATCAATAACACAACATCCAAGTTTACACTTTCGACGACCTAACTGCTATCCTCAAGTCACCTGCCAAATGTGGAGACAACCGCTCTTGAATAAAGACTTTAGTTCTACAGTGGAAATATTCAGGCTTTACAAGGCCATGCTTATTTTCTTTAGTACACTACAGCACAATATAACAACTTCAGTGAGTTTGTACAACGTTATCAACAAATCTCTCAAAGGCTTAGTATTGTGCAATATTTTTTACAACTTTTATATGTAATAACTAACCAAGACTGGCTCCCTGTTGTTGTAGACGAAGAGCGGTCCACCAGAGTCTCCATTACAAGTACCGACAGGTCCTGCCATCCCAATCCCACTTGTGCAGATTGTATTTGCCGTTACCTCATTAAAATTGTAGAAGCGCACGCATTCAGCGTTATCGATCACCTGCAACTTGACGTGACTCAACACATTTCTGGCGTGCTCTTGGTCTGAAACGCAATTTGATTTAAGAACAACCTACCAAATAAACAAACGATAAAAAAACTATAGAAATACTGCATAAATAACGACATAAACTTAGAAACTCACAAGTACTAGTTTTTCCAAAGCCAACAGCTATGGCTGAGCATCCCACAAATGTGTTTGTCAGCTCACCATCATTTGGTAATCTGATCGGTTTGACAGTGCCTGTAATACACGGCAATAACGTTTATAATATTTACAGGAATATAAAAGATCTTAAATAACAAAAAAATATATTTAGATAAAATTAAAACAATTAAAAAATCTTAAAAACATGGTCTATAAGAAACTTAAGAAAAACGTTCTTTAAACGGAAAATATCAAATTAAATAAAAAAATGATCGAAATAAATCCTTCACATTAGTGGAGATAACTTACTTGTAAATACAACGTTCTGGTGCAAATATAATATAGCGATGTCATTTGTAAAGTGCTGATGATCATAATAAGGATGTACAACGATTTCATTAGTGACAAAATGTTCACCACCAATGAACATCTGGTTAGAGCCCAAAACCACTTCAAACTCATACGCCGATTTGCTGCCATCATGATCACAGTGCGCAGCAGTCACTAGTCGATTAGAAGATAACAGTGAAGAACCGCAAATCGATTTATTTGATGTACCATATATACTGATGACTAAGCCAGCCTGTGGGTAGAAGAATTTAGTTACAGAACTTAAAAAACTAAATGGTTATTAAACGTTGAACATTTCCATTTACCTTGAACCTTTAAACGAACGACTAATACCAGGAACTGCTGGTCCGATTTGAAAAAATATTTTTGTGTTGGACAGTCCTTTTATCAAGGAAGGCTATAGGCTATAAAACATCACTCTACGATCAATAGGAGCTGAGCTGAGCGGGTGAAACCGCGCAGACGTAGCTAGTATTTAATAAAATGCAAATATTCCTAATTTATGCTACATTGGTAATGATTTTGTTTAATCTTTAAATTAGAATACTAGATGGTTAATAAAATTAAAAACATTTAAACTGTCAAACACCAAGCGGTCACCGGTGACCGCGACCTATTGTTCTTTAATTGTGTCTATAAAACCGGTACTCGACGAGTTAAATGCCTTCAATAACAATTTGTTCAAATACGTTATCGTCAACAATGCAGATCATTGCTAGCAAAAGTACATACGAAAAAAGGGTAAGAGTTGAATGCTATCTCTCCACCGATGATTCTATTCTCGATATTTATAGTTCCATTAGCTTGAATTGCTTCTTCCAGAGCCTTGATCTTCGTTGCCGTAGGAATACCGATGTCATCATGGTAGTAGGCCTGCACTTCCAACACGTCAATAAGAAAGAAACCAAAGAATACTACTATGATAGTCTTCATGATGTACTCGTGTAAAGACTAAGTAACGAAGTAAAGTTTACGGACATATTAGTACTATTTATATCGATTCATAATAAAACATAAAGCCATTAATAAACCAGCGACTTTTAGTCTTGCGACACGACTTGTTAATGCTTACGCTGCCAAAACTTGGAGTATGTATAGAGTATCGTAGAAGAAATAAGCTGACTGACCTTGCAATAGGCCCTGTCTCTATTTTTCCTATTAAACTTACCAATACGGTAAAATGGGGGTAAGTATTTATCGGGATGAATTAAACTGGTTTTTAATTTTCCTGTCAGAAATGATATTATTTTGATACTAGCCATTTTGTTAATAAATTTCGTTATAGTAATTATAAATTCCTTAATTATTCACAATCATAGTTCTGATTTTGAGAAAATTTTGCGACTGCGATATTCATACTCTTTTATTATATCGGTGGTGTAAAAATACTTAGCTATGTGACAACAATTTCAGATTTATGAAGCAATATGTAATATGCCTGTTATCTAGAGGTATGTGATAAAATAATATTATTTAAAAAATTGGTCATAAACAAACAATGTGTAGAAATGATGGAGAATATCGGCGAAAGGTATTAGGAATGCTTTTAACGGCCATAAAAAGTTAAAGGATAAAAAAGGTTGATAAATACATACCTATCTTTTTTATGAAATAAGAGGCAAACGAACAGACATATCATCTGATGGTAAGTGATCAGCGCTGCCCATAGACACCCGTAACACCAGAGGAGACACAGGTGCGTTGCCGGCCTGTTAAAAAGGAATACGCTCTTTTTAAAAAAGGAATACTTACTTACTAGTCTTTTTTTTTGAGGGGTAAATCATCCAATAACAGTATGTAGTTTGATGTCGACTGTTGACGGTACAGATCAGTGAACATTCAAAAGTCTTAGAACGCTGTGGCATGTTCACTGATCAGTACCTTGGTACCAGTCAACATCAAAGTATTGTCAGCTCTGAAATCTGATACACATATTATGTTAATGTGAAAGACATTTTCTCATAAATTTTACAAGCTCCGATATCGGTAATAGCGTCCGATATCGGTGATAGCGTCCGATCGGTGATAGCGTCCGATATCGGTGATAGCGTCCGATATCGTGTTAGATAAAGTGAGAATGGAGGACTGAACTGGATATAAAAGGCATAAAATCGAGGAAGGAGGGGAACTGGAGGAAGTCTATGTCCAGGAATGGAAAAAAAATGGCTGAGAAGGATACCGATGAGAGTGAAATCGTAATTAACTGGATGAAACCGGATTGCCTCGTTGGCCAAGTAGTCGCAAGTGCGACTACTACGGGGTCTCGGGTTCGATTCCCGGATCGGGCAAAGTATTACTGGGTTTTAAAAAATCTCAGTAGTAGCACGGAGTTTGGAATTCTGCCCGGTATATGGCAATAGGCTCACCCCCTACTACACGGGACTCATAACATAAATAGTGGAAAGTGGGTGTTACGTCTGTGTGCATCTCTGCCTACCCCTTCGGGGATAATAGGCGTGATGTTATGTTATGTTATGAAACCGGATTAAGATATGAGTGAAATTGCCAACTGAAACTACTGCACGATGTTTTTTCGTCGTCAACTGTGATTGACTGTGGGTGTTATACATGATAGAGTAAATTGTAACAAAACTCGTTACTTTTTAGTTTGTGTAACACTGACATACAACTTTCTGACCCACTTAATTACATGCACACACGTAATAATTTGTGACATTGAATTAAACTGGTTAGTAATAACCGTGGCCGATATTACATTCGTTATTATTGTTATGCGCAATTATTTTATTCTTATGAAATCCCATTTTATGAGTTGTTTTGATTTTAATTGTTGTCGTCATTTATCTATGTTTATATTATTACTTTAGTGAGACATATTAAATTAATTATTATGTTTTCGACTTTCTCACGTAATTATTTACGCCCAGGAGCGGCGCGACAAACGCCGCGTCGCGGGTCTCGGAGTTCTGCTCATGAATATGAGCCTCTAGCATGGCTTGAAACTAGTCGAGTTCCTCGTCAAATAAATACGTGATTACGAGTTACTCACGTAAATATATTGAGAAAAGCTCTACTTGAGCAGCGCGCATCATTATTATTACACAAAATCATTTTTTTTTTATAAACGTTGCCCCACATTAGTATTTTCTCCTGTGTCGTGGGTGCGTTTACAAACATACAAGTTCACATACACAATGACACCCAGACCAGAAACAAAAATTTGTGGATCACACAAAGTGTTGTTCCGTGCGGGAATCGAACCCGCGACACGTTGGACGGCAGCCGGTTGCCCAGCCACCGCACCAACCGTGCAGTCATCAACAATAATTATACTGTTAAAATGTTTTAGGTAGTTCCCATTTTAAAACCATTGTTATGTAACAGTATACTCGATTTACATTTAAAAAGGTCGTAACTACCACATTTTTGGTTTACCATTTAATTTCACAATACAGTTTTTCACACCACACTCTGAATAAAATTCTCCTGAATTTTCCATTCACTTATTTATTCCCGTTCCCACCGTACTGTGATGAAAATACTGTGAATATTTTATAATTTGTTATTGTCGGAATTTGTCAGTTTTTGGAACGAAATGTTTGCGTATTTTCTGGTCGAATCATGGGAATTTAATGGACCTTTATTCAATACTGGTTGATTTTTATTGTCGTTGATTATGATTTTTTTTTAGGTACTTACGAAAGTAAGAAATTGTTATTAAGTGATTTATAACTGAAAAGAAACATGAAAAATTATATTATTATAAGGTCGAGGATAAGTTTGTGTATTTTAGAAAAACAGCTAATTTTCAGGGCAATTCTGATGATATATAAAGAATGTACGCATTAACTAATATAATTTATCTATTGTTTTATCTATGGATGTGAAATCTGTGGCTGATTTTATTTTTGGCAATATACGTTTCGCCATTGTTAAATTATCTTTTATTTAGTATTTCTCTGGGATTAATTCAATTAATATTATCAAGAAATAATTCAATAAATATTATCCATCTTACAGTTTTCATCAAATTCAATTAAATTATTCATTTATAATAAAATATTTTCAAAATTACGAAAGATTGTTGAATTCGATGGCTAGATTTAATCAATCGCATTTACGTCCCCTGAATTATGTTTTTTTTTTATTATTTCATAAGTAATTGTTATAAACATATTCTTTCTTGAAGCGTGTCCGTTGCGTGCGTCCGCGCTATATTTTATAAATCAAGTTGTTCTACATTCATAATTCACTCACTACCCGTTTTATTAATTTTACCGTAAATAACAAGGACTTATTTATGGATCCTTTTGCAAAAACTAACGCCTTTATTGAAATTAATAGTAGCGTTACGCAGTTGTGTATAAACACGATTTGAATAATGTAGTGAATAAATTTTATTGTTCATTTGAGAATAAGGTCGACTTTAATGTAAGAAAAATCTTAATATAAGGTATTATAGTACAGACATTTGGTATTTTTCTTTGGCGCTCGTACGCCGAAACTATTGGTTTTAGGAAAAAAGGTTATAACATACATTGTAGGAAATTTTCTCTACTATTATTTTGTTTATGTTTTTCTTGTAAAATGCGTCGGAAAGGAGTTATTATCAAAAAACTGCTTTTAAGCGCCATTGTTGCAATATGGCGGCGCAAGCGGCAAAGATACGAGGTGGCAAAGTTAAAATTCGGAAAAAGCACGTCAAAATCTATACAATTACCAAATTTTAAAACTCCCGGAGGACTTTCCAGGTAACCTTTATTTTCTCGACTAAATGGCTGTTCAATTAAGACAGTCTATAATTACATTTATCGATTTTGACAGACACATAGACAGTCAGCCTCGGACAAATAACACCGTTCCTTTTACTTAAGAGATTAATTAATGACAAAAGCTTCATATTTTACACGTATAACGTTATATCACGGGACATTGATGACCATCGTTCGCGCTGGTGGAACACCTTTTCATCAGTACTAATACTTAAACTTTATGAAAAGACAATAAAAACCTCTTAAAAACAATTACAATGAAGTTCAATCAACCATTATCCACAGCCCATAACTCATAAAAATGTAATACATCAACATATTCATCGCTCCATACAAAGTTGTAGTGAATGAATTGTATATTTTTTCAATAAATTGCGTCGCCCACCGATGTCGGGGTACATTCCGTACATTCATACCCTCTGATTGGTTTGTTTTGTTTTTTATTCATCCGTATTCCGTTTGCACCGTTTTGCCGGGAAAACGTTCATGTTTATAGAGGGTGTTTGTGCATTCCTCTCACGTCCCTTTTGTGAAAATATATGGGCCAGTTTTAATGAAGCTATTTGGGAAAAACAAGCGACTTAATTGTATAGCTTTTCACAACACGCTGTGTTTGCTCTTTCTATTTATTTAAATGTGAACTTTGCGTGTTTCGAAAACTGTATGATACATTTTATATATTTTAAATTTATTTAAAATGTGACGTTTGTGACTTAGCTTTACTAACCTTTAGGAGAAATCTGTTGTTGTAATAACATCTCGCCTTTTATCTCCGAAGGGGTAGGCAGAGGCATTATGACATTTAATGCCACTGTACAATGTAACATCAGATTTTCACTATTTGTTGTCTATCTATATGAGAATTCTGTTGTCTATATGGATTGTTTCGTAAAAAAATTAAAACATTTAAAATGCACAAAAATATTTAACTGGAAATAGCTAACTATAATAATGTATATGAGAGTTTACCTAAATGGATTAAAATCCGGTATAATTACTTATAGTAACACCGACTACAGAACGTAATTAATAGACGTAACAACACCAATTAATAAGTATCAATAACCGTTAATTAAAAATTACCTAACGGCTAATTATAGTGCCGAATAACTTGATCGATTACTCGATTATGTGGATAACGTTTCAAATCGATATAACGCTAGCTGCACTAGTGAAACTAAATGATGACTTTTCATTGAT